TGCAGACCATAGCCAGGCAGCTTGCAGAGATCTTGCTCAGAGGAATGTGCGAACAGAGTTACTGGTCTCCTCTGGAAGACCCTCCCACAGTGTCGCCATTGGACGATCCCACACGGCAAGGACACACTCACAGCAAGAACTACACCCTAAGCCGACGCCCACGTGTGTACTCGGGAGAGAAGTAAGTGATAACGTCTGTTTGTTGGTGCTAAAGTGGGAATGCAATGGAAAATAGCCAACATGGCACCCAAAATTAAACTGTTGCCAGTGTACTTTTTCATAAGTAGCTCTCTCCATCTTCTCCACCACTCGGTTTTTCCCTTTTTCTCCTCTCATCCTTGTCCAACTCCATCTTTCTGACTCCTTTGGTGCATTTCTCTCTCTCTCTCTCTTTCTCTCTCTCTCTCTCTCTCTCTTTCCCAGTCTGTTTTGCCCTCAGGAGAACACAGAAGAAGCTTTGCTGCTGCTGCTCATCAGTGAGTCCATGGTGAGACACAGAAACAGTCTTTGGAAAACATTTCACACCCTTTTCTGAAGCAGTGAATCCTGAACTCAACCTTATCACAGTGCCACTTCTACATCCCTATCTGTGTTTGTGTGTTTCAGGCTAACCGTGACGCTGTCCTGAGCAGAATTCCTGAACACAACAATGATCGTATCATCAGCCTGCAGTCTGCCTCTGTGGTGTACGACCTGCTGACTATAGCTCTGGGCAGAAGAGGGCAGTACGAGATGCTGTCAGAGGCGAGTAATCCCTCTGTGGGCTGCATAGTCACAGCCATAGTGATTGTGAAAAGTGTTAAAGCCTGCAACCATAGTACGCCCACATAAAATATCACTTCTTTTTCACATTCATTTCCCAAACAAATGAGTGTTTCATTACAATCTAATTGGCTCTACATTGGCTGCGCAACTAGATGAAGCTTACAGAAACTCTGATAACGTTGATGAAACGTGTCCTATTTCTGATGTCTCTAGTGTTTGGAGAGAGCCATGAAGTTTGCCTTTGAGGAGTTCCATTTGTGGTACCAGCTCGCCCTGTCGCTAATGGCAGCTGGGAAATCAGCTCGTGCTGTTAAAGTCCTTAAAGAGTGTATTCGTCTGAAGCCTGATGACCCCACCATCCCACTGCTGGCTGTGAAGTTGTGTATCGGACCTCTGCACTGGGTAAGGACCATCCTGTAGACAGAAACTCAAATGAGACTTTTTTTCCAGACAGGCTTTAAAACATACATACAAATAGTCTGCTTCGAACAATAATGTGTGTGTCTGATATTCTTTTTACAGCTTTTCAATGAGCACAGAGAAACTTTCCACTTTCAGCAGATGAATATGAAAACATCCTTCTAGAATCAAACTCTGCACATAGAGCATTCAAACAGCACACTGTAGGAACAAGAAGAAACACATATTTCTGAGGGGAGGGGGACTTTAAGCTACCGATACATAAAATCGTCTAACATTACCCCCAAATGTCTTCTCTCTTTTGTCCATTCTGTCTCATTATATGTCTGTCTACTCCCACAATCCAGTTGGATGAGGGGGAGTGCTTTGCAAAGATGGTGATTGACATGGGGGAGAAAGCAGCAGAGTTCAGAGCCAAAGGCTACCTGGCCATCGGGCTGGTTTACAGCCTCAAGGCAACTGATGGTAGGTCTCTCTGTTTGTATGTGTTCTTCTCCGACTAGGAAGAACAATAAACTTGCTAAATCAGGAGAATTTGTTCATTCTTACTTTAAAAGTATTGTAATTATGTTGTCTGTTAGTGTGGGGTTAAACTAGGAAATTTGGGTGATTCATCGATGACAACATTGAAAGCAAGTCAACATATCTCAGTTCCCTATGTGATGATTTCACATATAGAGATTTTAAATACTCTACCACATTGACTGTTGCTCTTCGTGTATTATTAATAATGTACCTGACTTCATTCTGTGTTTCTCTTTCTGTCCATGACTCTGTCTCTCTGCGTCTCTCTGCGTCTCTCTGTAGCATCATTGCGAAGCACACAGGAGGAGTACCAGAGAAAAGCTTTGGGAGCCTTCCAGAGGTTGGGACTGAGCCATGCTGTTCCCTGCTTTCTCTTTTACACCCACATTTCCCTCATAATTATTGTGCCACAGCACAAACTGCTTTACAGTCTGACAAAATGTTAGCAAAACTGTTCTAAAGTATACTTTAAATTTGATATATTAATAAGGTGGCGTTAATATACATACTCTGCATTATTTATCACATTGATATAATGCTGCAATGTAGTCTCTCATTTTATATTCAGTCTTTCTGCTTATTAATGTTGCGCTACAGTTTCTAATTGTGTCTAAATGTTTAAATATCCTCTGGTTTGATTTCTTACATGTTCTATTACTTTGGTGCGGCAGTGCCTCAATTTCCCCACAGGGACCTTTAAAGTTTAATCTAATCTATTAACTTTTTATCAGCATGTCTGAACACACAAAATCTCTCTCTCTGTAGAGCTCAGAGTCTGTCTCCTACTGACCATCTAGCAGCGTTCTACTTGGCACTGCAGCTTGCTGTGTCCAGACAGGTAAAACAGTCTTGAGTAATAACAGGATAAAGTCACCATGTATATATATATCATGTCAGACATCACACATCTGTCACTTTTATCCCGACTGTAGTGAAAACCTGTAGTTCGTATATATGTCTGTGTGTAGATCCCAGAGGCACTAGGCTATGTTCGACAGGCGTTGCAGCTTCAAGGGGATGATGTCCACTCCCTTCACCTGCTGGCTCTGCTGCTCTCTGCTCAGAAACACTACCACGACGCTCTCAATATTATAGAGATGGCTCTGTCCGAGTACCCTGAGAACTTCAAGTAAGACTCACACACTACCACACATCATTTAAAGCACACCAAAGTGAGTTTCTGTTTCACTGGGTTCTTATCGTGTGTTCCTGTGTGTGCTGTGTGTTGTAGTCTGCTTTATACCAAGGTAAAGTTGGAGTCGATGTGTAGAGGGCCGGAGGAAGCTCTGCTCACCTGTAAACACATGTTGCAAATCTGGAAGAGCTTTTACAACCTTACCAACCCCAGGTATACACACAAACACACACACACACTCCCCAAATGCAAACACTAATCCTGATATTTGTTTTGGTCTCATCCATTCAAACTAGTGATTAACTAAATTGGGTTGCACCAGTAAACTTAAGGAATGTCATAGCCTCTTAAAATACCTAATGTGTTCAGATCAGTTGCTAGGACACGTGTAACTCTGTCCAATCAAAAGCAGTCAACTCTATGAGGAGGAAGTTTATGTAGGATCACAAGCTGAGTTTAATCAGAGACGGTTCACTGAAGAGTCATTTCCTGTATCTGGGCCACTCCCTTTAGGAGACTAGCGGCAGGTCCTGAGTCTATTGACTGCAATGGGAGAAATGAGAGTATAGATTATGACATATTCTGTCATCCCATAGTTACTGAAGTAAATATTGGACCCATTTTTCACAAGCCTCATAACTTATCAGACACTAAAACAGAGATTGTGTCTCTGCGTTAGCAGCAGCGCTCGTCAGATCTGGCAAAAAAATATATCTTTTGTTTGTTGGTGCTGAGTCATCATTGTAGTTTCACCAAAAATTCAAATAACTTTCTGAACCGTCTCTGGGACAGCCCAGTGTGCTTTCGTCCATCCACCTGACGTCACAACACTTCCTAACAAGATGTGGAGATGGGGGAGGGGTGGCACGCCCACTTAGGGAACTGGAAATGTAAACCATGTCACACTATTGTATTGTGTTATCTTCTGTTATAGAAAATATTGATATAACTTTCAAAATATAAGTTTTAGGAGGTCAAACTATATATCCTAAACTTTATATATTCTTTATAAATACTTTATAAATTCTGGGCGCCTGGTTAGCTCAGTGGGTGGAGCTGGAGACCCATGTACCAAGGCTGAGTCCTTGCTGCAGCGGACATGAGTTCGAATCCACACCTGCGGGCCTTTGCTGCGTGTCTTCCCCTCTCTCTGCCCCCTTTCCTGTCTGTCTCCAGCTGTCCTATCAAGTAAAGGCATGAAAGCCAAAAAAAAAAATACTTTAAAAAAAACTGCTATTCCTTTGTAAATGTACTCTTACACATATATCTTCCCATACGCTGGAGAGTATGTATGTTTTGGGTTGGTAGTTTCATGCAGTTTAAAATTAGAGGGACATTTCTAATCATTCTAATGGTATTAACATGTTTTGTAATTCAAAATATACCATGTTATTTTTGTAATATGTAATTTATTTATTCCTCTAGTTTACTAGTTTACTCCCTTAGTTTTTGTGCCTCTGAGTAAACGTGGTGTTTGCCAGTGATTTCTGGGCGTCTGGCAGCAGTCTGGTTTGGACTCATGAGCCACTAGCAGACACACGAAACGACTTAGCTTCAACGCCATCGAACTCGAACTGCCTGACTTCAGTGACCCTTGAGACCGGTACGCACACACACAAACACACACAAGCTGTTTCACTCCCCTGTTCAAGAACCCTTTGGGAACCCCACAGGTGAGAGCCCCATGATGGCGTGTTATATGTACGTGGGAGGAATCAACCGAGTTTGTCCATATGATGATTATAATTATGAATGGTTATGAAGAGGAGATAATGGTTTTCTCTTTCTAATTTTTATATTGATCCATTCTCCCTCATATCTACAGATATTGAAGGAAAATGTCTGTAAAATCTCTCCCACTCTTCTTTTTATTGATTTTCTTTTCATGTGTTCTGTTTGATAAGTTGCTGCTTCATCTAGAAGTTATTATGATATTATGTAAAAAGTATGCTGTATGCAGTTTAAGAACCTCTGACTTATGTTTCTTTCCTTTCTTTATTCCTTGATTAATTTCACTTATTTCTGTTTTATTTCCTTTGTTTTAGTCTCAGGTTCTTCCTCTTCTCACTCTGGTTTTGAACTGGTCTTCCCCAACTCCCCATCCACCATTTCCACCCTCTCCTCCCCACTGTCCTCCCCCTCTTCCCCTGTCTTCATCCTCCAGCCTCCTCCTTTCCTTCCTCCCAAAAACCCATCCTCCCTCCCTCCTCTCCCGGTCCTCCCTTTCCTCCTCATCCCTCTTCCTGCGCCCGCCAAGACCAGGACTCATTCCTTTTGCAACCACGTCACTCTCCGCCAGCTCTCCTCCAACTGTAATGCGCCTTCACATCCACGTCGGCCTGTAGCATGTTGTGGAGAGTGACCTAGACGTTTCTGGGAGATTGGCTCATTAAATAACTTGTGTGTTTAGTAATGAGAGGACTCCCAATATGTTGCTTTCTCTGGTGCATAAACAGTATGTATTAGTCCACTAGCAATATCCCTTTGGTTAGTACGTGGTCAGAATTCATAAAACCTAAAAAATGAACTCACTGATCTCGCTGTCGCTGATGTAGGCTATTTTATTGTTAAAACTCTTGTACACAAAGGAAGTATGATCTGCTGTGCACTTCCTATCTGACTGCGCTGCAACAGAATTACCAAAAGTCTGCAGGAGCAGGACACACCTCCTGACAGAAAGGGGGCTCTTTTCCCCAGTCACTGAATAATATAATCAGTAATATTGTTCATAAACACAATATAGACATGGTCAAAAGTATGCCTATTGAATGATTAAAACACATCAGAACACTAGTTTCTTTTGTTGCCACTCAACCGTGAGCTACAATATTTTCCTCATATGATATCAGTATAATAATATAATCTATATATATTATATTATGAGGCTGTCTGCCAGTCAGAGGTGCTGCTGCAGTCAGCAGCTGCCGAAGCTGAACAGAGTGGGCAGAATATTCACAAAACACCCACATCAGGATCACCATATCCTGTGTTACAGGACTTTACTGGTTTACCACACTAGTAATCTGCCAAACTGCAGCAACATCAATCTCACCTCAGTAGGAGAGCACATACTGTGGATCTGACTTCATCAATAAACAAGATTTAAGTGTTTAAAACTAGAGACCAGCTAGTTTTGACAACTGTATAATAAAAAATTTTGTTTTTTACTTACGTACCTCTGTGTTTCTCAAAAATGCCTGCTTCAACCTAGATTATGAACTATTTAGTTTATTCCAAACAAACTAAATACAAGTTAATGTTCAGTTTTAGATTTCTGCCCTACTGGCAAACCTTCCTCTGACAAAAAAAATAGACAAATAAACACACATCCAGGCTTACAAAAAAGTCTCTCTGACTTAATGCGTTAAGAATTTTTATTTTTATTAAATTGTAGCACAGTGGAACTAACTGTCCCTTCAAAACAGGACAGAGATCTACTTCAAATATACAGTATTCAGCAACTTCTATAATCTACTCATTAATGTCAAGCAAAAAAATATTATAAATCTTTGAAAAATCTTTTCACTCAGTGTTTGAAGAATGAATTAAAAAACTTAAATGACCAAATCCACTAGCCCACTGCATATATTAAACCTGATATTTATGTCTTTTTACATTCGATTATGTTGCAGGTTTATGCTAAATTAATTTTCCCTCATCAGTCTACAGTCAGTAACCCATAATGACAAAGTGAAAACAGAATATAGCAATATATAATATTAGTGTATTAAAGATACCAGCCTTTCCAGTTCTCATTTTCTTACTTGGACAACACCCACTGGAGTGAACAGTTTGTCAGAGACACGCAAAAACATTCTGGGAATTTTCTCACCAGTGACTCAACAAGTAAATGGCCCAAAAACTTGTTATGCTGTTCTTATGACCAATCCCTAAGATTGTAGACGAGGTGAATCTTCAAAGTTCAAACCTCACAAGCATGGACAAGGACTTCAAAACTGAACTGACTAACCTAGAGAGTACTGGATGTGCTTCATAGTCACTCTCAGAGCTGCTGTAAATCTGTGCATGTTAACATGTAAAAGGGACACTTTGAGTGTGGATCAGAGTGCAGTAGAGCCTTAATCAATCTGCTGCAGTTGCTTTGTGTTTTTGCAACTTCCTCAAAGCCTCAGGTGAACTTACTCACTTGACACACACACATTTAAGCTCCACACGCTAACAGTTGAAGCAGCTAGGATTTAGAGATCTGCTGGGTACTTCTTTGATATTACAGAAAATTATTTTTACATAATGCTGCTTTATTGTCTCTTTACATTCTCTGCATTTCCTTTGCTGCTTGACTCTTGTTTTTGTTGCTGTTTTGCATCCTCCTCATTTCTCTCTCTCTCTCTCTGTTTCTGTGAAGATTTTTCATTTGAGCCAACATTAATTTGTCTCGTTTCCCGGTTCCAACCTTATGTTGTCTCTCCTTGTTGCCATCTCCTCTGCTAATGATGTTTGCACTGGAAAATAGTGGTTGTTATTTAGATAAAGTATTTAGCTGCATAAAGAAAACACACTTTTTTCTTCCCCAGAATGTGATTTTGCAGCCTGAGAACAGTTACATAATTTAAGTTATAATAAGACCATCACAATGATTGCAATTACTGAAAATCTGACTAGGTTCTTTTTGGTACTGTAGCACATAGTTTTTGTGTGCGTTGTTAGTCAATTAAAAGGCTTTGTGAGGTATGTGTGGTGCAGACACCTCTAATTTAAATGTAACTGTGCTGAAATGCAAAATAATCTGCACCGCGCCTCATTTTCAGAATAAATATGAACCTAAGAAAATTCAGTCAACACAAAGCTCTCATGAGCAATAAAGCAGAGAAAGACGAGCCTCCTTCATGGTGTTAGTTAACTGAACTTTATGGCCATTACTACTGAAGATTACAGTGTGAAAAAGGCACAAGTGGGAGCAGCGTGTCTGATGCGATGTGGTCTAAGAGGCTACTGTGAAGAGTGAAAACCTCCTCACTGTGATCTACAGTCTTCCTTTTGGGATCAGCGTTCTCTTTTGTCTTAATTATTTGGATACTTCTTCTCTGTCTCTTCTTCTCTTTCAATCATTAACAGTCTTTTCTGTTTTTTCCCATCCCTCCGTTTTTCAAGGCGGCCTTCAGGACGCTAACATTCTTGGTTTTTCCTCCATGTTTTCTGTTTGTAAGTAGCCATCTAACCTCCATCTGATCTTCCTTCTTTCATCCATTGTCCTGTCCACCCTTTGGTCCCCGTTGACCTTCCTTTTTCTGACGAGGCTCTGATATATGTACGATATCTGTACGAAGAAAATATGTACATATATCCTCTGCTTTAACATGAAGTCTGCAGCCAGTTTCCAGGACAGTTGGGATGTATTGTTACCCTGTTGGTGGTACAGTAAATGATTTAAAGGAATACAACGACTTAAAGGAATATCTCTCTGAAAACCGTGTAGTATACACATTCTTTGCAATTTGTCAGAAGGAAGTAATGTGAAAGTATTCAAGAAAACGACTTTGGATTTAGCTGGAAATAAATCTTTTGGAATGCTTTACAGCACAACATACGATGAGGGTGCTGTTTTCTAGCAGGTATGTGCTGGATGAAGCACCCTGAATGGCAGATGGAAATACCAATTCTGAGATGTTTATCCCTTTCAGTAAAGCAAAAGAGATGGTAAATGACAAATCACAGAGCGACTGCAGAAAGGAAACAAAGAAGCCGCTTCCTGCTTGTAGAACTAATATCTATGAAATGTGTCTGTAATATTGACAAATACTAATACTGACTGTGCAGCCGGCATGAGACAGAATTGTTTGCAGTAATTTTACCGAATTATTACAATTAATTTGCCATGATTTAAAGCTATTGTGGAAAGGTATGAGAGAACAAATGGTGAGATAAGAAATTGTCTAGAGGAAAAAATTATTATGTGATACTCCATTGATAACAGATCTGTGCATCTGTTATCAAGACTTAGTTGGTTTATTTTTACCATTTATACTAACACTTGCTCTTCGCTTATTCTGACTTCTAACTGAACTGTCCATCAGCTTGCTGCTGTTAAAATATGCATTGCACAGGAACTAACCAGCCTCTGCTGTTGTGATAAGTGGTATTATTTCTTGTAAGTCAGTGTATTCCTTTAATTCAGTGAGCAGCTTTACTGCATGCGTTGCTGTGTGAATTGTCCACATTTTAGGCACAAGCCGCTGCAGGAAGCTTCCTCAGTAATTTGTTGGCAAATCTCTTAACTTGTTTTTTTTATGTTTAAAACAAATGTTTCCTTATGCTTCAAGGTCTTATTTTCTTTATATATATATATATATATTTACAAATATTTAGTTGAAGGATTGACTTGAATATTAGGGGCACAAAATGGTATAAGTGAAAGCAATTCATATGAAAATATACACCACTACTTCTCTCTTTCTCCAACTGTTTGACTGACTAATCACTGACCTAATAGCACTTTCACAATTCTGTCGCTATTCTCATATGGGCATTACAGTGTGTGATAAGAACACAAAGTTCACAAGGGTAAAAGGGGTAAATGGGGGTGTGGGGTGGGGGTCTTTAATTAGCAGTGAGTTATCTTTGACCTATAAATAAGCTGGCAGACGGATTAACTTGACACATCACCAACCAAAAGTCAACTTATGGAACAATACAGTTTGACTCAACATACTGTAACATGTTTAAATGTGCTCCACTAGGATGGGCTGCTGCATGCTGCTATCTAATATATGACTTCTTACAATGTCCCTCTAAACCAGACGACTCAACTTCAGATGCATCTGTGTTGTTTGTGTGAGAGAGAGAGAGAGAGACTTCTTGTTGTCATTCCCTTAAATCCATCAGCAGTACTCGTTGCTCTCTCACACACAGAGAGCTTCAATATGCAAATGTTCTGTTTTTATCCTTATCTCGTTCAGCTTTTACACATGGGTAGTTTCTGTCCCTTAACACACAAACACATTTTATGTCAATGTAGAGAAAGGAGGAAGAGTATTTGGGAGTTTAATAATAAGAGAAGAGGGCGGGAGATCTTTTAAAGTAAAGCTTTTAGCCCAAGCGAGCTGCAACCATCAGTCGATTTTAATTTAGTCCATGTTTAAGGCATAGAAGCCCCGTATTTATGTTATCTAATCCCTGCAGGCTTTAATTGACACGACAGTTCAATATAACCAAACAAGCCCAAAGCGAACATGTAAGTCATTATTTTCACAATCTTTTAAAGAAATCCATTGGATAATAACAACAGTCTCAATCTCATAATAAGCAATAACAGTATCAGTATTTTACAGCATTAAATGAGGGCATTAGGCAACAGAAACAAATCTGTTTTATAATGTCTAAACAGTAAAAGTTCTACAAATACATAAATTCATATATTGCACACAAATCATCATCACAGATCGAAGAGGATTAAATCATCATTGTTGAGTTCATATTTATCAGCTGAACCATTACATCTGGACATTTCAGCCTGAATAATTGGAATCGGTGGTAACTGACACTAAAAAGGGCGTAACAGAGTGTAGATGTAACAAAAATAATATATATAATAGGTAAGTAGGCGATGAAAGATAAGTGGCAAGTTAAAACTTTTCCTATAAATATTATGACAGTTGACAATGAAAATATCATTGTTTTATATATTGTATGTTATACATATACATATACTATATATGCATACATATATTATGTTTTGCTTTCACAGATCTGCTGTCCCTTCTTTGGTGGCCATTTTGCGCCCCTGTAATAAACTGATTTAGCTTAATCGCAGAGACAAAATCAGAGACACGCGTCTTTCAATTACTAATAAGCAGAGTGCAGATTGGTGCAGTGTTTATGCATGGTGATGCAGAAATTAATTCATTTTAACCTGGTTAATCCAGGGCCTTAACACTGTTAACACTGTGTGGAATGGTGTGGACTGATTAAAGGCTTTAGTGCAGGAACAGGAAACTGTGTGCCAATGTGGGCCCAGAGACTTGAGCTTTTTACCGCACCCAACACACAGATTTCACTGTTCCTCTTTTCTCCCAGAAGTTTTGGGAATTAGTGAAACTTGCTTGTGTGTTTGGTTGAGTTAACACCCTGCATTGTGGCACATGGCTGCCTAACGCTGCTGTAGTAGTTAGTCAGTACCAGTAGGAGATGGCGCGTATAACGGTTTGATTCTCTCCCTCCAGGTTCGGTTCATGCTACATCTATAGCAGCGAGTCGCGTGGAGCAGGCACTGTCTGAGGTGGCATCGTCCCTGCAGAGCAGCGCCCCCAAACAGGGACCAATGCACCCCTGGATGACCCTGGCTCAGATCTGGCTGCATGCAGGTATGCACATGTACATGATCAGTACATACATGAAAGCGCAAAAGATAAAGATACTGGGCTGGTGTTTTGGCTTTGTTTTAAAATTAGGTTTTAGTACTGTTTTTGTAAACAGGGTTTGCAAGAGAGAGAAAGGCTAGATGAGGTAATGATTGTGGTTCCGGTCTGACCACAGCCACATAACACTGTAAACATCTGTTGTGTTGTTATCATCAGTAGGTGGTTAGGTTAACATGACCTGAAATCATTTTTCAGTGTTTCAGTGACAAGTTTTAACACCCCATTTTTACCATGTCTGTTATGCTGTGTTACCTTAATGTAGCTCAGTGATAAGGTTAGGTCAACACATTAACGTAACATGAGCCCATGTGAACTTCTTGTGAACCCACCTCTGGTCATGTTTGTGGTCACATCAGTCAACAGACTTGTAAACATACTGTAGGTCATGTAATGCCTTGATGACTCTAGAATATTTCTTAGCAAACAGTAAGTAAGTAAGTAAAGCTTTATTCATATTGCACACAGTTGCAAAGTGCCTACCACACCCACAGGAAAAAGATAAATAAAGTAAAAATAAATTACAATAAAAAACTGCACAGTGAGAGACAGACCACACTTAAAATGAACCAAAACACAAGATAAAAAGCAACTATAAAGATCGGTTTTACTAAACCATTTAAAACAGTCCAAAGATTCAGTGAGTCTTAGAGAAGATGATTCCAGAGGGTTGGGGCTAAAACCACAAAGGGTTAGTTGATTTCATTTGCAGTTTAAGCAAGGGATGGATAAAAGGCAAGATTTGAGGGTCAGAGGCCTGGGCAGTAAACCAATAACAAGATGTGTATCAGCAGATACTGATCTACAAAGGTAGATAATATAGTTTCACTTCAGTGTATTAAATGCAAACCACCATGAAAGCGTGTAATGAATATACTCTGGCTCATAAACGTATCCCTTGATAATGGACCGTGCTATGATTGAATCACCATAGCCCCTTCCACCCTTTGGAGTACGCAGCATGTCGTCAGTCACTGCCTACATCTGTAAAGTCTCAAGAAACAACGATGACTGAATTATGAATACTGGCCCACATCAAATACCGAAATGTCCCCTCCCCTACACTATAACTTTGTGTTGCCCCCTCATTATGACACATGATCTTCCTCCTAGCATAGATTTCATTAAGCAAAAAGTTGTAGTGGGTTAGTGGCTGTACTGGCATTAGTTCGTAGGACTGCATGTAACAGCAGTCTGATGATCTTTGCAATCACACCAGAATTAGATTTCCTTTGGAGTACGCTGGAGCCCTGATTCTAATTTCTGGCTTGTAGACACAAACATAAGCAGACTGAAGAGTATACATAAACAGATGCAGGCAGCAGGCACACACACACCCATAGGCAGAGGTTGTTTGTGTTACTGTTTATCTCTCCAGCTGCTTCCTGTCAGAGGTGGTCATTTCCAGCTTGGAGACACAGCTAATGTAATTATCCAATCAGAGGACAGACTGGCAGAGCGTTCAGACTCATTTCCTCAGTCTGTCTCACTCTTAGTTTGTATCTTCATCACAGCAATACACAGAATGCATTCGGTGACCTTGATACTGGAAGTTTTTTTTTTTTATTAATGCAATTTGAGGGAGAAAAATTGGATTATGTTTTTTCTCTCACATTTTCTGCTTCTTCCTCTGGCAATTTTAAATGTTTCTGCACAAATAAATTCAAACTTTCGGTTTGTGGCTCTTTTCAAAATCATTTTGCTTAAACTCAAGGGCTGTCAATGTCTAGACCACTGATACAATATCTATTATATCTAATACCTCAGGTCAGTGACAGATTGAAAATGTTACTTCCACATAACAACAGCATAGGAAATGTCTTAGTTTGATGAGGTTGAGGCTGCCGGTTATATTGACCGTTACCTCGTTTGCGTCCAGTAATTCTACCAAGCTGCCAGTTGATCCGAGGAAGAAAGATACTGATGTTTGAAACTGCTGCGTGTTGCACGAAATGGAGAGAAACTTGCTGAACTCACAGTTAAACAGTCATGTTTGAAACCTCTGTCTGTGTTTCTCTGATAGCTGAAGTTTACACCAGCATGTCGAAGCCCGCCGAGGCCTCGGCCTGCACACAGGAAGCTGCCAACCTCTTCCCCACATCCCATAACGTGCTGTACATGAGGGGGCAGATAGCCGAGCTGAGGGGCAACATGGACGATGCCAAGCGATGGTATGAAGAGGCCCTGTCCATCAACCCGACGCATGTCAAGACCATGCAGAGACTGGTAACACACAGCACACACACACACCGAACACACTCCGTCTGATCTTCTCCTCCTGCCCTGTCCTTGTGTTTGGTCTCTCGAGAACGTAACAAATCTTGTCCTCTCGGTGTCCCTACAGCCTGAGGGTTTTTGTGTTTTATGTAATTAGCCATAGTCCTCTGGGAGAGCCTCATTAGAGAAGGGAGGGAGTGTCTCCCTTTTTTCTTCACTGTACACTCCTCTACCTCTTTAGAGAGCCTGACTTACCATGAGTTTCTAAGACACCACAAATTCATGTAAGCCAGATCCAGAATGCATTGTATATTGTTCAAGAACAAAAGCATATTTGAATTTTCATTTCATTTTCATTTTCAGTCATTTTTTCAGACCTTCATGTCCACAAAAAATGCATAAATCACAAACACCACCTGTGTATCTATAACAATGAGACATCAGCTCACATGATCAGTTATATCAGTATCTTTGAGTCTGCCAACCTCAGTTGCCAGAGGAGAAATACCACACAACAACTGTGATTTTTACATAAGCAAGGTGTGACACATTTTTCAGAGCCAGATTGGTTTAATATGCTTATATGTCCTAATTAAAACCAAAAACTCAACTTAGTTCTTACATTTATTTGACTTGTCTTGTACCCGTACCTAGGTTTATTTAAAAAATATATAGCAATCCAATTCTGGATTGCAGAGGTGAGGGAAAGTGGAAGCAATTTAGGACAGTTTATTTGCTGCTCCATCATCATATATGGACACCTGTGGCCCTGTCATAAAGGATATAGCCTATGAAAATAATGTAGCTCACTGTTTGGTGACATGTTATTGATTTACTTTCTGCAATAAAGTAGAACTGCACAATGACAACGAGGCTAACAATAAAACTAATAATGTTACAAGTTAGGCCACTGCATTGTTGCCGTAAGTGATTCCCATAAAAGTGAATCATCACCACCATGACTGCCTTTATTAACACATATAGCAGCCCACATTCATCACAGCAAGGTGCAAGCCTTATAATGTCCTTCCTCTCCCACCCTTTTTCTTTTTTTATTCTCCACAGGGTCTGATTCTGCACCAGCTGCAGCGCTACAGTCTGTCTGAAAAGGTCCTGAGGGACGCTGTGCAGGTTAACAGGTAGGTGTGGGTGTGTATGTCTATATGTGTATATATATATTTATATATCTGTGTGTTTGCCAGTACAATATACATGATTGTTATATTTTAGGGCATTCACAACAATATTTCTCTTTCTCCTCTTCTCTTTTTTTCTCTCCTCACCTCTCTTTTCCTCTCCTATTCTGTCCTTTCTCCTCCCCTCCTCTCCTGTTTCCTTTTCTCCTTTGTTTCGATTTCCCTCTCCTTCCTATTTTTCTTTTTCCCCCTTTCTCTCTCATAACCTCCCCTTTCCTCTCCTCTTTATCCACCTCTCATCTCTCCTGTTATCTCCCTTCTTCTCTCCTGTTTTCTTCCTCTTTGCTTCTTTCCCCTCCTCTCCTCTCCCCAGTACGGCTCACGATGTGTGGAACAGTCTGGGTGAGGTCTTGCAGGCTCAGGGAAACGCTGCCGCTGCCACCGAGTGTTTCCTCACCGCGTTGGAGCTGGAGGCCAGCAGCCCCATCCTGCCCTTCACCATCATACCCAGAGCACTATGAAACACACACACCCTCACAGTTCGAGCCTAAGTACTGTAGCACAGTGGCACAAATGATGGACCTGCAAGTTGCACACACACAAACACAGCATGCCTGCATGCCACTTACACAAGGTTTTACTGCCGTACCCTCAGATACACACGCGCGCACTCACACTCACATTCGCTGTATACAGATGCAAATAGTACACATTAACATGCCTACACACTTCCACCCGCCACCCACCCTTCCTACAATGCCTTGCTGTGGCTGTGACACCTGACACCTGTGTGTGAGGTTATGTGTCTGTATGCGAGTGTGTGTCGATTTGCGTGCCTGTTTGTGTCTGTGCATGTACACCCACGTCTGTGTATGTGTGCCAACATGTTGCCTGTGCATATTTGTGTCTGGTTGTAAGTGATTTGTAGTATGCCGTCTGTGTGTGTTTGTTGTTTTGTCCTGTTTAAAAATGTAAATAAGGTTCAGTTTGAGTTCCCACTCTGCCGTCGCTAGCATTCAGAAGAGTTTACATTTTGTTTACGTGTTATTTAGTCCGAAAATACACACACAGAGTTTCATTTTCCTTTCACACACTGAGGGTAAGTTTAGAATATTTGACTAAAAATTTGTTTTATTAATGTTTCCTTTGTAAGCCAAATATTACTGATAATCTCAACCACACACACACACACACACACACGTTCACTTGCTGTATGGCTGGTTTAGAACAGCCAGATCTTTGAGAATCAACTAGAGCATCAACAAATAAGATCAAAAGATCGCTGAGGAATCAATCAGTAAAGTCTAAATGCCAAAACACAGGCTGCATTTACACACGGGATATCAGATTTGAAACGTCCAATGGATGGCTGCCAGTTCTTTTTTTTATACATTTTTGAATTAAAGCACATTTTATCTCACGTGTAAATCCTTTATTGCTCCTTTGTTGAACCATACTTCCATGACATTCTCTGGTTTTACACATTTTCCCAATATGTGCACGGTTCTCCGAGGGAAGCTTTGGAGCTAAAGGAATAGTTTAAATGTTCCTTTCTTACTGAGTGTTAGATGAAATGATTGCTACCACTCTCATGTTTGTACAGTAAAGGTAAAGCTACTACCAGCAGCCGATTAGCTTAGCAAACCAGCACAGCAGCTAAGGCTCATTTATTAACCCTGTAGGTTTCTGTACAGATAAATGAAATGTAAGTGTAAAAAGATTTAAGATTAAATAAAGACATGCTTATTTGTGAGCTTTAGATGTGCTGGTTAGCCAGGCTAGTCCTTTTCCCCCCCGTTTCTGGTCTTTATGCTAAGCTAAGCTAACCGGTTGTTAGCTCTACCTTCAGACTACTAGCAGCTGTAGTCACCTACAAAAACTCACCAGAAACACGATAATGTTACAGATAACCTGTGAAGTTTCTTGTAAATTTGTAGAAAACTGGAGCTCCTGTGAAACATTCAAGTGTAATAATAAATAGGAGGAATCTGTTACACACAAAAATCTGATTTTCTGTTGTGTGTAAATGCATCCAGTGATTGTGTTGTCTTTGTGTCCTGTCACAGTCATGTTAAATACAACTAGATAAATATAGTTGTTTTGTTTGTTTTTTGATTATAAATACAAATGATTATTGTTGTATATTTGATTGTTCCAAGTGTATTATTGTCATTATTTTAGAAAGTAAATTATAATTCTATTTTCTGGAAAGTTGTGCTGTTGGGGGAATAAAAGGATGAAACTGATTGAGTTTGTTGACATGAGCTCAGTCAGTGAGTCCTTTGTGCTGTAAATGAATGACTGAAATTAGGATGATAATAATGAGAGATAATAAAAGTGGTCAAAAACAAAAGTCTATTTGTTGTTTGATGTATTGAAAACATTGCTCTTCCCACGGGTTTCTTGTAATCCTAATTTAGGATCTGATGGGAAACAAATATTGACCTTAAGGCTCAATGTTTTGGTTAGCAGAAACCAGTGTGTCTGTGTGTGGTGTTCCCACTGGCTGTGACCTCGGGGGCCAGCAGTGTGTGTTACTTTCTCAGGTGTAGGTCTGTCAGTGGATAGGCGTGTCCCTCTTTATGTGTTTTTCAGCAGAGGATTACAGCGCTGACAGGCTTTGTCCTAGAGTGTCAGGAAGCCACCGTTCAGCCTCACACAACCCAGCACAGACCCCCCACTGTTACTGAGTTCCCTGCTGGATCTCAGGTATCACCAACAGTTAGTCCCCCTTAAAGGTCATGGCCTCAGCCCAGAGATGTACTGTGCATGGGGCTGATACTGGTATTTTGATTACATATTGATGTTACATTGAATTAGCATTACACTGTTAATGGTCATCTGTGACGATTTGTTAAATATATTTTGGCACATCTTAACCACTATTTATGTAAGACAGTAATCAGTCCTTTTTTTTTTTTTTACACCAATACAATTTTACTGTATGTAAAAGCACAAGATACAAAGAAAGAAATTAAATTAAAAGATGGATTTCAGGATTTCTCCTCTGTTCCTCTTTCCTCCGGTGTAACAGTCATACTGCCGGGAGAACTGGCTTGCATGGCTCAGCTTGAAGGCGGTCCATCTTGCGTAGTTCTCCTCTGCTTTGAGAGTTCTTTTCTCCTTCTTCCTCACTCTGCGGTCCCGGTACTTATCAACCCAGTATTCAACGTAGAGTCTCTCCTGCAGCCACTGCAGGGTCTCATTGGATTTGGGTGTTTTTGGTTTGTCTAAAGACGGAAAGAACAAGGTTTATTTTCAAGTAACACAGAGGAATATTCCCATGAAGGAAGTGTTAAATAAGTAAAAGTCATAGGTAATAACATTGCAAACTCTGGTTCTTTGCTGTGATGTGACAGTGTCCTAGCTGATGAAGGGTGAAGAAATATGATACAAACCTTCAGACTCGGTGCCTGGTTTTGCAGCAAAGAGGTGATAGGTGGAGCTGTTTGGGTGGGACTTCTCTAAGGGCTCACTGTGTATTTCTTGCCCTCCAACCCAGTTGTTGTGCACAGTTGTCCTTTTGCCCTGCTGCTCTGCCTTCAGGGCAGAGGTCAAGCACTCTGGGCTGGCTTTGTCCCCCATTTTTGGAGGACGGCAGAGCTCGGCCTCCGCGCGCCTCCTCTGTTGCTCTTCTTTCAGAGCACTTATAGTGTAACTGGGCCTTTTCACCGGCTCCTCCTCCACTAGCATCACCTTTTTCCACTGAAGCCTCTCTATCTTCAGTTGGTGCAGATTTTTTTCCTCTAGGGCCTTTTGTTCATTTGCCCTCATCTCCTCCTCCTCCTCTCTCTGTTTGGCCTCCTGCCTCATCATCTCCTCTCTTTCCCTCTTGCACTTCTCCCTGGTCTCCAGAGCGACTCTTTGTCTGCGCTCCATCTCCACGGCTTTCAGCTTGACATATATTTGTCTTCTGACCTCCATCTTTCTCTCCTCCGGGGTCAGTTTCATCAAGCTTTTCACTTTCTCCATTTCAGAAAGAAAGGAACTTTCTTGTCTTTCAATCATCTTTGTCTAAATACTCGTCCTCTACTCGTGTAGGTTCGATTACTCTAATGCTTTCTCTTCAACAGGTTTGTGGTGAATAATGCCAGCAGACAGGAGTTCTACTGACTTTACTGTGATGGAATTCTTGACATCACAATTGACGTTCCAGACTGGAAGCATTCTAACTGAACAGATCATAGAATTCCAAATAAGGCATCATATTGTATAATACTGTATACAGCCACGTTTTTATCCCTGCTCGCAGCTTGGGACTATAGCAATGTTGGTCTGTCAGTCAGTGTATGACTTTGGTCCAGACGGAAACATCTCAATAACCATTGAATGAATTGCCATTAAACTCTACATACATTCAGGCTCCCCGGGGATCACTCTGAACACCTGACTTTACCTCAAATGTAATTTTTGTGAAACGTCTTGACAACTTGTGGTGCCATGAAATAGATAGCTCACCTGGTAGAGCTGGCATGTACCAAGGCTGAGTCCTTGCTGCAGTGGCCATGGGTTTGACTCCGACCTGTGGCTCTTTGCTGTGTGTCACCCCCTTTTTTTCCCCAAAACAAATATTTTTAAATTAGTAAAAGAAATTTGGCAGTGGATGAATCCTAGTGACCCTGACCTTTCCTCTTGTTTTTCAAAGCTTTTACTTCAAACTGTCCCGAGACAAGACCCTTGTTCCCAAAGTGGAGGCCCCAACCCACACTAGGGGTTGCCAAAGCTTTGCGGGGGGTCGCAAGGCCTTCTTGATTTTAAGGGGTGTATGAAAACTCTTTCTTTTACAGTAGGTCTATGTCTTAGCATTTCATTCATTAATCTTAACAAATATTTTTGGGGGGATTTCATTGTTTAATTGATAGACAGCCGAAGAATGACAGGAAAGGGGGAGGGGGAGAGAGAGAGACCGACCAAGCTGAAATATTTATGTGGGTGAAAGCTGGAACCAGGAGTGGGGAACTGTGTGTCTGTGTACGGCTGCGTGTGTGTGTAAATGTGTGTGAGATGAATTTGAGGCAAATCTAACAAAGAATCTTCTGGATCGGAAACCCTGTAAATAACGTTGGAGTGGCAGCTCACTAATAGCAAGCAGTGAGCAGCAAGATATATTAATACACTTCAGACAGTTACATAACTACAGCTACTAACATTGTGTATGTATGTGTGATATATGGATACATCTAACACCTCCTTCACTTCTCCATCTCTGTCTGTCTGCTTCTTGTTGATTGCACAATCAGCTACATTTTATATATTCTAGGAAGAATCAACAGTGCCTGTGTTAGTAGTACAAACACAAAGTTATACTGCTTATTGACACAGCTCCCCAGTAATTAAACAGAGTGAAGCCTTTAGTGTCTGTTGAAGCCAGCTTTTAAATCAGAGGCAGGAGGGAAGTATTTTAGGAGAAGGGATTTTATGGGTTTTAAGATGAACTGTGAATGTTTTCATTTTCATCCCTCGCTCTCTTCCTCTCCCTCAAGTCCTGGGTTTCTATTATTGTCTTTCAACCTCTTCACTCCACCCCCCCTCCCCTCCACTTGTCTCCTCTCTTGCGCGCTCCTCAAACTCCCACGGTTTTCTGCTCCCTCTATTTCACTTGCACCCACCCCATGCCTGGCTCTGTTGCCTAGCAACACCTCCTCATCTGCAGACAGACGTTCTCGACGATCTGGTCGTCCTTGTGGCACCCCTCTACACACTAATTGTACCATTAGATTAGTAACAGACATCTTGGTGTCCATAACTTTATTCCTGAGCCTTAGTTCCTTTCTCCTGTTCCCCATACTGTACGATCACTGATCTGCTCTGCAAATATCGTACTGTGTGAAAAACTGAGACTAGTTGCAACTTTCTGTAGCGTTTTCCTGTTCTCAGTTCAACTGTCTGATCCTGATACCTTCTCATTTATCAGATCTAGGAATGTAAGAGCTGACCAATTCCCCTCTCGAAATATGTTTTTAAGTGGGCTTCAGTGTCTGTGCTTACACTTTATACTCAAAAAGACATCCCATGCAGTAAGTAGCACATGAGTCATTTTAAAGCCCCCACAGGATCAGCCTCACTGACAGAAGCACAAAGACACAATACGAGATGTTAGTTCATGATATTTTATTGGAAAAACAAAATGTAAAGACTAGCATGTACAACTTGGAGATGCAGATCAACTGAACCGAACTAAACAGTTGGACTGGGCCGGGCCTCGCCCACTCCAAACAACACACACACACACACATACACACGACCACCTTCACGCAAACTCACACACAAACACAAGATAGAAATGCCGCAAAGCACCGACCCCGTCCCTACTAAACTGAAATTAACACCCGCGTAGAATCATGATACACACGCAACCTTTGAGGCAATATACTGTACCTAAGCATGCTTCACAGAGGAAAAACTCACTGACAGTAAATCTTCAGCTCTACAAAAGCTGATACTCACAACACTCATATTGCTCCAAAGGTTGCTTTTATATCATCACCTTTAAAGCCCACCCCACCCCTCCAAATAGTCTAGAACACACCCAATGCCCAAGAGGCTCAAATCTATGCCCCACCCAGGCTTCACCCTCAAAAAAGGTAAACACACAAAAGGATAAAGCGAGTATCCTGACATGCCAGAAACACAGAATCTAAAATGAGTTCTTATTTATTCCATTTTAATATTTTTCTTAAAAATATCTCTGTCGTCACTGACTTCATTTAGGTAAGCAAACGGCAAAGGTTCCGCTGGTTCACTCACTCCCATCTATCTGTCTACTAACCCCTCCCTCCTCTCTGTGGGTCCCAGGCCAACCTGAGGCCCAACAACAGCCCTCTGCCATTGGGCTCTCAACAGTAACCCATCTAAAGCTGCATGCATGAAGAACAGAACAAAAGAAAACAGGAAGTCATAGAAGAAAGGCGATTGGCCAGCCCATATAATCATCATGACATCAGGCAGATGGAACCAGGAAGCAGAGGAGCAGTGGCCAAACCAGCCAGCTGCAGACAGGCTGCTTGGCTAACGAGTTGAGATCTGATTGGGCAGCTTAGCGCCTGGGGGGGGGGGGGGGGAGGGCAGGGAATACAAGCCAGTACATGCAGATTCATTTAGGTTTTTCTTTTTGTCTTTTACCTTTTTTTGAGCTTGTTTATATGGACAGATTTTCAGTTTTCCAACATTCAGTTTAAGTTGTCTATACAGAACAGTATGAATAAATGTAGATTTTTGCAATAAGAGGTAAGTGAAACATTTGACTGATTCTTTGTCTTAATAGGAGCCCAGTTCATTTGGCGGTCATCATCTGAACAAATTCTGTGGGAAGAAAGAACACAATAAAACCTCATCAGGAACAGTGTTGAACTTGTGTACCACA